TAGAGATAATTAAGACACACATTTCATTGATATCTACTTCTTTGAGACTTTGACCAAACAAAGGGAGAGATTTTTCGTGCGTCAATAGCCCGGTAAATTAAGTAGTGCTATTAATTCCTGTTTGAAATAACTAGAGCGGGATATGGGTTAGGTTTCATCGGCCAACCGACCCACTTTCGACTCGTTTCTTTCGTCCGATAATTTTATTATCAGGCCGGTAATTTTAACCAACCCATATATAAATAGGTCGGTTAGAGGTTTTCAGTTTACTCAAAAGTCGGTTGGTCAGGTAATATCGGCCAACCAACTATTTTAATAATTTTTTTATTATAAATATTTAGTTGTATTTCTTATTTTTTTATGTTAAAATAATATATAAAAGAAGTAAAAACTCATAACTCAAAAACACAATTTTATAAACCTCTTCTCATACTATTTCTATTTTATATTTTTCATTATATATTTATTTATTGTAGAAGTTTAATACCAAAAAACTCTTAATTTTAAATTAAAGTTCAGATTTTTACAACATAAGTTTTCCCAATTTTGAATATCTTTTGAATAAACATTGAAAAACATCTTATTATTGTTAACAAAAAAAATACAATAAATAGATGGCCGATAATGGCAACCAACCACCCACTGTTTATTCGACAAAGTCGGTTGCCAACCATCACCAGACCCGTAATGTTTGGGCTGGTAATGGTTTTCAATTTTAAGCAAAGTCAGGTGATCGGGTCGGGTAGGTAATTAGCCGATAATTTCCCAACCCGAATCCATGCCCAGCCTTAGAAATTACTATATTAACCCCTCAAAGATATTACTAGTTTGATTAGCGAACTAGATTTAAATATTGCGCAAATTGAGAAAAAAAGTACATGGAAATGACACTTAATTAGAAATATGATATTTTACATTTTTGTCTTGTAAATATATCTACCCATGCAACATTTATTTGCTACGAAGAAAAACTCTCATATATATATATATATATATATATATATATATATATATATATATATATATATATATATATATGTATATATATATATATATATATATATATATATATATATATATATATATATATATATATATATATATATATATATATATATATATATATATATATTTGTTACTTCATCTGTTTCATAATATATTAATATCTGTCTCTTTTGAGAATTTTTTTTGTTCTATATTATCTGTAATTTTACAATTCCAATGTTGTATTAATTGTTTATTTTTCAATTTTACCCTTATTAACTCTATAGCACTTTTCCTGCATTAATTAATAAACAAGGATATTTCGGTCAATTAATATCTATTTTCCTAAAATCAAGACATATTTATTGAGATTCTTAAGATTTGTGCCAATGTGAAAAACGACACATATGTAGAAACGGAATGAGTATTTTTGAAGAAGTCATAAAAGGTTGATCCGAACTTAATAAAGCTCCACTGAGGCAAGCCCAATAACGAAGCCTATCCCACTAGTCGAACTAGCCAACACATACTCTAGTGCGACGGACCGATCTCCGAGCCAGGCAACATGACACATGCATTTCATATAAGGATGTTCGTTGAAGTCGGAAATCCTGAAACGTACTAGATGGGATATTAATTTACAACCACGAAAATTATAAAGGTAAAAACTGAGTTATTTAAACGAATACGTTTACAATCGATTTCATTTTAGTAGAGTCGATGCAGTAGATGAAAATTGTTAGACGTTGATATAGTAGTCAAGGACTACATTGTAATTTTGCAACCAAAGAGGGGATTTCGTAATTTAGACATACTTCTTTGTAATTTCACCTAAATTGAAAAAAATGAATAAATAAATAAAAACTTAATTATATAATTGGCGTGAATAAAGTAAATGCATAATATTATTAGTCAAGCGGGGGGTGAAGTTATCTAC